ACTTTTTTGTAATAATGATCACAGAAGATCAATCTGTAAGACCTAAAATCAGAAAGTGGTTACTCCGCATAATAAAAATGAGGAAATTCGAACTGATTACAATAAACGGTGATCTAGTAAAAAAGAAAGTAACATGCTTACTTGCATTTTGTATGTAAATCCTACTTTTCATATCATCAACTATTTATGTATCTGCAGCATTGTATTTCAAATAAAATCGCCGAATAAGCAGCAAAAAAACACAAACACAAAAATGTGTCCAAGTTGTCTATAAGCCTCGCTTTGAAAAAGTCCGGTAGAAAAGTGATTTGTCTCCATGCCTTTTAGGACCTTCAATACAATTAAAGGCAGCAACGACTTTAGGTGATAAAAAGTTTTATAGTGAAATAATGGAAATTAATTAGATCTGGAAATTATATTCTGGTTGCATAAAGGGTGGATGTACTTTTTAGATAAAATAAAGTGGTGGTGGTGGTGGTGGGGGTGGGGGTTACAGATGATTAAAGACACTTTCATGTACAAGTGGGTCGCATGGTCGAGGGGCTTAACGAAGAATTTTTTTTTCAAGTTTTTAAGAGGCTGCATTGAAAAAAAATATGAATAATGATACCGAAAAAAAAAATTACTGCTGCATTCTCGAGTGTTAGTGATCTCAGACTGTTTTCTTTTAGTAATATTATACATTTATAATGTTTTGGTAAATGAATGAATACAGAAAATGAATTAAAAAAAAACAAACAAACAAAAAACTAAAATGAATGAATGAATAAATAAATAAATAAGTAAAATAGATAAGAATCTTGAAATTTCGCAAAAATCGGGTATAGTTAAATAAGTTAATGCACTTGTCAAAAAAAAAAATCTTTGGATATAAATTTGTCCATTGGCGTATCTAACTGTGTGATGATATATGTGTGTGTTAATTATGATTATTATTATTTTTTTTGGTAAGATATATCGACGAAGTATCGTCAATTAACAATGGTAATTTCCATTCTTATGTCGATACGATGTATCCCGGTGAGCTTGACTGAGATAAAAGTTACCACATAGTCTGACACATCTGTTTCATATTCATTTGGATATATGGTGTTGGTTCGACACTTAAGAGCTTGCCCTGCATAAGAACATCGTTTACAACAATACAAGCTATTTCCAAACAAGTTAATGAATCAAGAATATCAAGCATAATTTTGCAGATTTAATTTTTCTAGTCGATGTACATGGTCGTGGACGTTTTCCAAATAAATTGTAAGACCATTAAAAACACACTGAATTGGCTCTACTAGTCAGAGACCAGCTAGAAGAACTTACGCAAAAGTAATGTGTCCGCCGTCAGTCTGTCTGCCTGTCTGTAAAGTTAACAATTTTTCAAAAATGCCACTCCTCTTACAGTTTTGGTCTGATTTCAATACAACTTGGCACTCAAGCAGACTACACTAAGATACATGAATCTGTATATCGGTTTTTGATTTCGGTGAACGGTGTTGCCGTGGTTACTAAAAATAGAAATTTTTGTGAAAACTTTTCAAAATTCTACTCTTCCTACAGGTTTGATCTGATTCAATATAACTTGGCATACAAGTAGACTGCACTAAGGTACATAATTCTGTTTGTGTACCGTTTTTTTTTTTTATTTCGACGAACGGTATTGCTCTGGTAACTAAAAATAGAAATTTCTATGAAATCCTTTCAAAATGCTACTAATCCTACAATTTTGGACTGATTTCAATATAAATTGGCACACAAGTAGACTGCACTAAGATACATAACTCTATTAATCAGTTTTTGATTTTTATGAACCATGTCGCCATGGTTACTAAATAGAAATTTCTGTGAAACCCTTTCAAAATGCTACAGATTCGGTCTGATTTCAGTATAATCTGACACACAAGTACACACTAAGATACATAATTATATATATCGGTCTTTGGTTGGAATAACTATGTTGCCATGACTACTAAAAATAATTTTAAAAAATATTTGAAAAAGCTACTCCAAATACAGTTTTAGTCTGATTAAAATGTAATGTTGCATGCAAGTAGACTACACTGAGATACATAGTTGTTTAACGTTTTTTTTGTTTTGATGAATGATGTTGCCATAGTAACTTAAATTTAAAATACTGTAAAATTATATTAAAAGCTACTCCTACAGTTGCAGTCTTATTGCATTTTATTTCCTCCAAAAGAGACTTAATCAAGGATCAGATTTCTATTTATTGCTGTTGCATACATTAAAGTCCCAGGTGCTACTTTTCTGTTTTCCTCTGATATTTGTACACTGGAGATACAGTCTCGACAGAGACTTCTGGTTTTTAGCTCACCTGAGCCGAAGGCTCAAGTGAGCTTTTCTGATCAAAATTTGTCTGTTGTCTGTCGTTGTCGTAGTCTTCGTCGTTGTCGTTGTCGTCGTAGTCGTTGTAAACTTTTCACATTTTCATCTTCTCAAGAACCACTCGGCCAATTTCAACCAAACTTAGCGCAAAGTATCCTTGGGTGAAGGGGATTCAAGTTTGTTCAAATGAAGGGCCACGCCTTTTTCCAAGGGGAGATAATTATGAATTAGAGAAAAATTAATGGCATTTTAAAAAAAATCTTCTTCTCAGTAACCACAGCTAGGGCCAGGAAAGATGAAACTCATGTGGAATCATCCTCAGGTAGTGTAGATTCAAGTTTGTTAAAATCATGACCCCTGGGGGTAGGGTGGGGCCAAAATGACCGATCAAAGTTTTACATAGCAATATATAGGAACAATCTTTAAAAATGTTCTTCTCAAGAACCACTGGGCCAGGAAAGATGAAACTCATGTGGAATCATCCTCAGGTAGTGTAAATTCAAGTTTGTTAAAATCATGACCCCCGGGGGTAGGGTGGGGCCAAAATGGCCGATCAATGTTTTACATAGGAATATATAGGAACAATCTTTAAAAATCTTCTTCTCAAGAACCATTAAGACAGGAAAGATAAAACTCATGTGAAATCATTCTCAGGTAGTGTAGATTCAAATTTGTTCAAATCATGACCCCCGGGGCTAGGATGGGGCCATAATGGCCGTTAAAAGTTTTACATAGGAATATATAGGAAAAATCTTTTAAAATCTTCTTCTCAAGAACCACTGGGCCAGGAAAGATGAAACTAATGTGGAATCATCTCAGCTGGTAGTGTAGATTCAAGTTTGTTCAAATCATGACCCCCGGGGGAGGTAGGGGCAAAAATGGTCGATCAAAGTTTTTCATAAGAATATATAGGGAAATCTTTAAAGATCTCCTTCTCAAGTACTTCAAAGCCATGATTAGTGATATTTATATGATATCATCCTCAGGTAGTGTAGATTCTAGTTCTAGTGCGATGTGGCCCCTGGGCCTCTTGTTCTTCTTTTTGCACAATCTTGTCAAGGAGCACATGGTAGATATGGCCGGTCGATAAGAGGTTTCTCCATTGCATCTGATCCCACTTTTAGATTTTTACAAAACCAATGGTTTTTTGAGCTTGTTTTTTGTTCTCTATCTCCATATTTTATTATACGAAATAACACTTTAACCCAAATGAAAGGTTTCAGTTCAGTGGAAGTTGTACAAGAAAATGTAGAAAACACAAATTGCATTTTTATAGTATATTGTTTTTGTAAGGTTTTTATAAAAATGCTTTGACGCTTTGTTTTGCACCTTGATCATAAGTAAACGTATAGAAGAGGATGTAATTGGGATTCATGAAACAAAGTGGTGTGTATAGTATATCTTAGAGTTGGGAAAAAACTCCAGTTCTTCATTCCGTTTTCCCGGTGATAACAAGAAACACACGGCGCGTTTGACCAGTCAGCAGGGGATGCTCACTCCTCCATGGCACCTGGTCCCACATCTGATATTTTGGAGGTCGTGTTTGCTCTGCTCCTATTTTGTAATGTGTTATGGACTTTTGATCTTGAATATTGTTCGTTATCTCCATATGTTTCACTCTAAAATATTGATGTAGAAAAATTTAATAACAGAAGGAAACAACACAGACTCTTTGTTCAATTTTTTATTAAAATATAAAAAAAATTCCACCATTATTTTTTTAACAATTAAAACAAATAAAATTGTTCTATTAGAAAAGAAGACTTGTTCACCAATCTTCAATCATATCCTAATTAACTGTACAAATATTAGTAATAGAATGCGTTTATGGTATATTGTAGTCATAAATGTACATGCATGATTTTTGTTTTAAATTGTTTTAAATTGTTTTAAATTTCAAATTGATCCCGCTATCATATTTCCAGTGGTTTTGACTTTTAAGATCAAGATATGAATACAAAATGCGTAACATTGAATTAAAGTAACACTTTAATCTGTAAATAATGTTGAAGTTGGAAAAATCACAATGTCAAAACAACCTTTAATTACAATATGGAATTCATAATTGTTCCGAAAGTAAAATTCTATCTACCTATATTCTATCTAACAATTCTATCTACAATGTACCATAAACGCACTTTTTGCACGAGGTCAAAATTCCACGAAATCATATTTTTTTGTTATCGGTGAACCGTTTAAAACCATCTGCAATTTGTATAGACTGCCGATGTATTTTTATATTTAGACAAAATTCCGCTATACAAAGCGAAAACCCATCCCACACGACAAAAAGGACGTGCACAGTATCTCATAAAAAGCAAAGCGGATCAAAAATGAATTTTAATGTAAAAAAAAAATGAATAAATGTTTGAAAAAGGAGAAATAAGCAAGAGCAATCTCACCTACCAAAACAGAGAGTAAAAACAGTTTATAAACAATGTATATAAAAAAAGTAAGAAGGGTTTGGAGGTAAAAATAAAGTCTCTTTCATTAATCATGTGTTAATTGCCTCAACTTTCAACATGATTTATTTGAACATGGATTTACTGCATCAATGTTTAATGACTGATATATTTGTTATAGTAATAACAACGTATGCATAATCTCAAAAAGAAATAGTACATTCTCAAGGAAATGCAGATTTTTAAAGATCATATGCTTATAAGTAATGAGGCTCGAAATGTGCATATTAAAATCAATGAGAATTCAAAGAAAACAATGTTCATCTGTGCCTTGACATGTGGACCCATAGATGCCCCCTCTGAGTGAAGCGTAGTGAGCACAATTTACAATGGTAAGGCTTCTCGCCCGTATGGGTCCGGAGATGGACTTTGAGATATTCTTTGCGTTTGAAGTTTTTCCCGCAATAATCGCACTGAAAAGTCTGAATAGATTTTTTAACTATGGAATCTAGAATGCTACAACTAAATACTCTTTCATTCTCATCTTTTGAGCATCCTCTAAATTCAGAGTAGTCTTTTAAAGGAATATTCGAATTCATATTGTCATCTATGATTTGATTCATTCTGTTCAAATAACGTGATTTCTTTGCATGGCGTTGAAGATGTTTCTTAAGGTTTTGTTTCTGGCTGAACATCTTGGAGCAGATGTCACAAGAGAAGGGTTTGTCACCAGTGTGGATTCTCTGATGGTCATCTAAATGATTCTTTTGTCGGAAGGACTTACCGCACTGAACACACAGAAAAGGTTTTTCTCCAAAATGTATCAAGTGATGTTTTTGAAAATTATACTTATTGTTAAAGCTTTTTCCGCAAAACTCACATATATACTCCTCAAGGATGGCGCCCATTGAAATTTGTTGGTTAGATTTCTGTCGCTCCTCCAAATGATTCGGTCGATGGATGAGTAGATGTCTTTTTAATATTTGTTTCTGATTAAACTCCTTTCCACACATATCACATTTGAATGGCCGAGCTCCAGAGTGAATTAACAGATGAACATTGAGGTGACCTTTTTGTTTGAATTGTTTTTCACAAAATTTACATTTATGCTCCGGTCGAGGCTTTTCTTTCAAATTGTTGCATGATGTTGGCTTCTTTTCACTGTTGTGAATATCTTTGCTTTTTGGGAATTTTTTGACAATTTCTCTTGAAAGGTTTTCTTCTGGGCATATTTTTTTGAGTTGTTCTAATGATTTTTCGTTTGAAAAACTATTCTCTATTTTTAGATTAAATGTTTGATATTCATTGTAGTTACTGAAGGCACCTTCGGCTGAAATTTGACAATCTACATTTGCCAGTTCTTCTTTGATAGTGTCAAAGAAATTTCTAATCTGCGGCTTGAGTTTGGGAATTCCTTCTGTATTCTTCTCTAAGTGGGTTACCATATGACGTTTCAATGTCTGTTTTTGGTTAAAAGTTCTGTTGCATACATCACAATGAAATGGTCTAGCACCCGTATGAATCAACATATGGACGTTTAGGTGTCCCTTCTGGGAAAACGATTTTTGGCAAACTTTACAAACGTGTTGTGGCTTACACATATTGTCCCTTTCGTTGACTTGATTAGAATTATTGTCGAGAAATGGAGCAAGAGTTGATTCTTCAGTTATTTCCACGTGGAAATGCCTTTCCAGATGCATTTTCAGGTGAGCCTTCTGTATGAATGCTTTTTTACAGGTTCCACATTGAAAAGGACGTTCACCGGTGTGGATTCTTATATGTCTTTCAAGATCAACCTTCCGTCTAAACGTATTACCACAATACTCACAAAGGTAAACTTGGAGGTAGGCTGTTGGTAATTCTGTCTCAATGTTGTGTTGTATATATTTACTTGAATTCGAGTCGATTTCTAACAGCTTCTTATTTGAAGATAAAAATAGATTCGCACATTCTGATTTTTGCAAATTTTGTTCTTCTAGATCAAATAGTTTGTCAGCTCTCAGCTTAGTGCTGCTTTGTTCTCCACCAAAAGTGTTTGTAAGGACTGTACTCGTATCAACATGAACAGATGATCCATTGAAGAGACACCCAGTCATGCAATGTTCTTTAGTATGTGTAGTCTCTTTATTTAACGACACCTTCACAGAAGGAATGGCTTTGCCACTTGCAATATTTTCGTGCATGTTGCATGTGTGCTTATGAAAAACCTTTATCCCACACTTGTCACAAAGATCCGAATCTGTGGTTTTTGTCCCTAAGACGTTGCAATTTGATTCCTTGCTGCTGTTAATATTGTTGTTATTTATTTCGTTTTGAGAAAAATCGGATTTTTTGTGAATGTCTTCTGAAATAAACCCAAACTCCCGCCCTCGATATTTGAATCTGCATTTCTTGGATCTGTAGTTTCTTTTTGAAACAGTTATAAGTCTTTCGTTTGTATTTGTAAGTTTCCTCGAAAATAGCATATCAGCATTAGATTTTGTAAAGTATGTCGAATGACATTTTTCTTTGATTTCTTCCTGTGGAAGAATTAAAATGTCTGTTTCTGTTTTCCTTGGAGGGCTGACATGCAGAAGTTTATGATAATGTAGGTATATTTTGTGTCGGAATGCCCGTTCACATACCTGGCACTTGAAAGGATATTCAAGATGAATTAGGCTCATGCTTATTGGCTTCAATATTTCAATCTTTCTGGGAAAAGCTATTATGCCGAATTTATTATACATGTATCAATTATTTGAATATGTATGAACATTTAAATTTCCAGTTTGTAATGAGACAGTAAATTTTCATGCAATAATTGTTTGCCAAAACAGCATATGCTAATTTCAAACAAGAACAGTGACGAATGTATAGTCTTCAAGGCTGAAAATGCATTAGATGTCCATCTTATGATCACATATTTCACGACGACTTTCTGCTAATTTTCATTTTTTTCTCTTCATTCTTTTCTGAAAATATATAAATAAATAAATAAGGATTTAAACAAAGATCAGTGGCAAGATGAAGGTAAGACTTCTATGGAAATGGAAAAAAAACACAAGTAATGGAAGAAGAACAATCTTTCAGAGTATGGTTCAACTCTTTACATTGCAACATACACTAAATTTACACGTTATGGAAAAAATATGATATTACTTTTTCCCCGCAAGCACTTGTTAGAGCGGTACAAGTTTCTCTAAAGTTATGCCAAATAATTATGACGGTTGTTTCTTAATAAGATTATAACTTTTTTTATTTTATGATTTTAGCATGTATAAAATAGAAGAGAAAAGGCAGTAAATTGAAGAAAAAAAATACTTTTCAAAGTGTGTGAAAAATGCGTGATTGCGCGGAAGCGATGTATGCGTGATTTTGCGTTAGAAATAGGAAATCGTAAATGCGTTAAATGTGTGACTACGGGGAAGGGGGTTAAAAGACTTCATTACTAAAGTTTAATTAATGAGCATTACACTTGTTAACAATTATAGACGTGTTAATCGATATGATACGGTACATTACGATTTTCTCCCTGTTCCTTTTCAGACTTTGATTATTGATCTACAGTGAATTTTTTCCTTCAAATTATCATCTTCTTCAATTTAACTTTTCATGTATGATATGATCAGCTGTAGTGATTCCTTTTTCCTGTCTGAAATTGGAGCTGAGTTGAAGTGAATAATTCTATTTCTTAAAATAAATGAGCTCTTATTCTTTTTTTGGAATTTATAAATGAGTATTTTATAAATCGTATTCTATAAATGAGTTCTTGAAGCAGTGGTAGGAGCATTGGCTCATTGGCTCTGAGTTGAGTAATGAGTTCAAAAAATTTTCCAAGGAGAGTCACACAAACCGATATACAAATACTTAAATTTGGATATAAAAACACTTTTAAAATTTAATTCAATAAAAAAAAACAAACAAACAAAAAAAAAAAAAAACCAAAAACGAAAACAAACAAAACGATGGTATTATATAGCTAGAGTATGATGGCATATTTCTGCCCCCTATATGCAAGATAAATTATGTTAACATGCAAGAAAATTATGTCAACATGCAAGAAAATTATGTCAACATGCAAGAAAATTATGTATACATGCAAGATAATTATGTTGACATGCAAGTTACAAATCTTTTAAGCTACCAATTCAGGTGTCCCACAAGGGTCAGTCCTGGGTCCCTTTTTATTCTTATTGTATATTAATGACATATCTGAAAAATTATCATGTCCTGTAAGGCTTTTTGCAGATGACACCTCTCTTTATGTCATAGTTGATGATGATATTATTAATTCTGCAAACATATTAACTAAAGATCTTGGACAAATAAGACAGTGGTCTAATATATGGGCAGTAGAATTCAATCCTTGCAAAACAGTCAATCTAGATTTTAGCAGGAAAAATATTTGCCATCCAAAAATTAAGTTTGGTGAAGATGGGCCCACTATTAAAAATGTTGAAACACATACTCATTTAGGAATAAGATTTCAACAAGATGGTAATTGGAGATCCCATATACTTGATATTCATGCAAAAGCATGTATTCGCTTAAATATCTTAAGAATGTTAAAACACACACTTAAGAGGGATGCTTTGATAAAAATATATTTTGCTTTTATTCGTCCTGTTCTTGAATATTCAGATATTGTATGGGATAATTGTAATGAAAGAGACGCAAAATTACTTGAAGATGTTCAAGTTGCACGAATAATAACCGGTTTAAGAATCAATTCATCAAGATCAAAGCTTTATGAAGAGCTTGGCTGGGATACTCTTTAAGAAGAAAAATACATAAACTAGTGTTATTTTATAAAATAGTGTATGGATTAGCACCCCAGTATTTGCAAGATTTATTACAACAATGCATTCTTCCAGATAATTCTTATCCCTTAAGGAATCTGGACAATCTTACATTTCATATTCCACAAGCCAAAACAACTTCATTTATGAAAAGTTTCCTACCTTCAACTATAAGACTTTGGAATGATTTACCATTTAATATCCGAAACTTTTCTTCACTTACATCATTCAAAACTGCCATAAAGAATATATACTGCATAAAACCTAAGAAATATTACAATTATGGAAGTCGTAAAATGAATATATTGCATTGTCAAAAATAATGCTAGTAATTTAAATGATGACTTATTTAATCAAAGTTCAGAAACAAATACTATTTTATGAATTGTTTAAATATATGCAAAGACAGAACCTAATACAAAACTTTAATACTTTAAATTACCAGTGCCTTTATGTTTAAACTTATTTTAAATATAATCTTACATACAACCAAAATATTGCAATATTTAAACTTGTTCAAGAATTTATTGCTACTACAAAGCGATTTGCATGATATTATATCTGCTATTTTTTTCAATTGTCAAATCACAGAACCAAAACCTATTTATGTTTTCTTATTCATTTTTTTTTTAATTACACAATCAACAATTATTACTATAATTGCCAGTCATACATGTTAAAATATAAATTTAAATTATATTAACAGCTCATATATTTCTCTTTTTTTGTTTGTTCCCCTTAATTTGCCTTGTCATATACATTTCTACTGAATATATGCATGTATATAATTATATTTTTCAATGTTATATTAATAATGTTTACTTGTACATGTATGATGTTGACCTTGTATTGTGGAAAGGACTTATATAGGCAGTGCCTGCTGTCCAATCCAATTATGTTTTTCATAATAAAATATTGTTTAAATAAAAAAAAAAAAAATCTTTTAAGGGAATCTGATTTAAATATGGTTAAAATCCCAAGCTGACGCCCGTATCTAAGAAAAGATGAATTAATCAATGGATACTAAGGACGATATTTTATTCATTTATCAGAAAATAATACAAGGCGACAAACAAACAATCCATAAACAGGATCTATTAGTTTAAAAAAAATATGTTTAAGAAATCAAAGTCGAAAAATACTACTTTTTAAAATTGTTTAAATTGCAAACTTTATACCATTAAAAGTTGCTTCTTCTTATCAACCTTAAAATTGATAAGAAAATCACAATTTAAATAAAATGTTTAAGAGGGAAAATAATAAATAAATAAATAAATAAATAAAACGTTCTTGATTTCGTTTCACGATACAGACCAGAGAATTATACGTGCACTTTTAAAAGTGGTTTAATTTCTTTTCTTTTTTTTTACTGACGTTATATAAATATTAAAAAAAAAACTTAATCCTGTTATAAATTTAATTATTATCGCACTCACGTGGCAATGTCGTTAATGTAAACAAGAAAAGGAACATGTGTCCACGGTATTCCTCGATAGCCCTCGTATATATAATGATCAATAAATCTCTAAAGTAAATAATTAAATAAATAAATAATTTGAGAAGAGAAATAAAATGACTTCTTACCTCATTTAAGTCAGGTCTTGTCTATCGTAGAGTTGATCAGATATATACAACTAAATGTTGCAGTTTGTGACTCCGAAGCAGTGAGGCGTGAATTTGACACACATTTTGGTGAACCCACTGCGTTCACTGCGTTAAGAGACATACTTCCCCGTGACCCGCCTGGCTTAGTGATACTACATAATCGTAACCTCATACTGAACGAGCGAGAGCGTCACGATCATTGTATGTAAGACTGCGTATATATATAGAATAGATCAATAAAGCCAAAGATTTAAAGTGCACAACATAACAAATATGTTTATTTTTAAAATATAAAATTTAAAAAATATGGTGTCAAAATTTTTTCTATCTATTTAAAAAAATTACCTTATATTAATAATACATGTTATACTATATTTTTAATCCTCAGGTTGTCTAAATATGCAGTACTGCATGTTTACCTTTCACATAAAATGTAATTACTTACGTATAACTTCGACATCTATAATAAATTATAAACACAGTTGGGGAAGTAAAAAAAAAAAAGGAAAAAAAAAAAACTAGCAATGTCTTCCGTATAATACACTCGTATATATTAATACGTTTAGGCATTTTGATTGGTAATGAGTCTAATGACTACTCATTCACTTTAGTATGGTGACATATTTCTGCCCCCTACATGCAAGATAAATTATGTCAACATGCAAGATAATTACGTTGACATGCAACACCTTTAAGAGAATGTGATTTTAACATGGGTAAATCCCCGTTCTGACGCCCGTTTCTGACATCGTAGATGCAAGACTATGTAGACATGCGACTTATTTATGTCAACATGCAACTTATTTTTGTTTACTTGCAAGATAATTATGTCAACATGTGGGTTAATTATGTAGACATGCAACTTATTTTTGTTTACATAAATAAGTTGCATGTTGACATAATTATTTTCCATGTTTACATAAATAAGTTGCATTTCTACATATTTATGTTGAATCTTGCATGTACGATGTCAGATGCGGGCGTCAGTAAATAAATTTACCCATATTAAAAGTATATTTTATTGTAAAATTGGAAATTTTCACGTCAACATAATTAACTTGAATGTTGACATAAATATGTAGCATGTATACATATTATTAATTATCTTGCAAGTAAACATAAATAAGTTTGCATGTAGGGGGCAGAAATATACCACCATACTTTAGCTTTAAAATATAAGATAGAAATTAACAACAGATAAAAGTTTTAAAGAGGAAGAAATGTATTATGATGAAATTGTTAAATGTTATGTAAATATTGATTAGTAAATAACCACAGAGTCTGACACATCTGTTTCAAACTTGGATATTAT